GGAGTAACTCTCGGCACCGAGGAAAGGCTCGTCTCGAGCACCGAGGGAGATATGCGACCGAGGTACATGGGTGACCGAGGACACGTGTTGGTTGTAAAATATACTGAATGCATGATCCTATATATGAGGTACCTCGGGGGCGAGGACATTCGTTCGCCGATGGTGCTTGATCCAAGCAACAGTGTATTAGTAAACCGAGGACACGTGTCTTCATCATAGGGTATTCCAGAAAAGTTCCATCAAAAAGCTATTGGATTAGGTTTTAGAAAATATTTCCCATTACAAATACATTACCACGATCATAACCACATACATGAGAATTCCATAACGATTTTATGATTTACACTTACATCTTTGTGTGGTTAGAAAATAAGATTTCCTTTATCAAATGCTCTTAATGAAAGTATAGATGGGTTTTTCCCTTTTTGGGATCCTCTTAAAAACTTTTAGCTTTTCTGCACTTAACAGGGTTCACTTTTAGATATAGCCTAGGACATGCTTTCCATATACTAATTGGTTTTCTGTTCTGTAGACCTGTGAATCAGCAGTGCAACTTCCGAAAGCAGGCAAAGTTGTGGTGAGAGACTCCACACAGAAAAGATTAGGTTCCACCCACTTCAAATATGGCGTTACAGACGAACATTATGAGGTATGCTTAACACATCACATCCCCAAGATGCCATAATTATGTACTTTTGTTTTCAAATAATTTGGGGCTGACAGTTTTCGTCGAAACATGCTAAGATGAAATGAATTGAACATGAACTAGTAGATTAGGTTTGATTAGTTTTTGTCGTGAACAACAAGGAAGTAAGTTTAATGTCAATGATGAATAACATAATTTGGGCACGACAAGCTCGTTTTGCTGGTAAGAATTCTATGTCCGGCCATTGGAATTGAAGGAAAGTCGAAGGGCCATTCGATTAATTAAGGGGCCCTATTTGTTTCCTACGTTTGAGTATTACAAAATGAAAGTTGATATATATGAAATTCCAAACAATCATATAGACAGAAAGTTGGATCTAAGCAAGACAATGCCTAAAAAATCTGATGTCATGCACACATGGTTTCATATGCATATTATATTAGATACAAAGAAGGTTGTAATTGCTTTGTAGCTACAATCAATTGTGAAATAAGTACACCAAATATCATTTTACTAAATGTGTCGGGTTTCAGGATTATCCGGCTCCACACTACCTTACAATAATTATCATAAATCTCAGTCTTTTGTACTTTTTTATTAAATGTATCGAAGGTTCAATACTATCAGACTTAACACTACCATATAGTAATTTCCAGTAATCTGAACCATTAGTTTTTGTTCTGTGGCTTTTTTTTTTCTCTTTTTGTGATGGAGAAAAGGGTTATGTAATGAATAAGCCATTACATGTTTATTAACAGCACCAGCAAGAAACTGAAAATATGCCTATGAATATGATTGCAACCAAACTCTTTCTGTTAGTTACCAAACTTCATTCATCTCTCAAGTAATTGCTTTTGCATTGACAGATTTTATGGGTCCAATCGGCATTGCCCTGTGCTGGTAAGCGAAATACCTGATGCAACACATGGAGCACAATTTGGTCTTCATTGGTTCAAGGCCGGCCTCGAAGGTAATGATAATCGAGCCGAGTCTATCGAACTTGTTTTTTTAAATGAATTTAAAAAATTGTTTAAACTCGACTCGCTTAAAAAATAAGCTAAGTTCGAGCTGAGTCCGAATAACTCAACTATTTTATTTATAAACGAGTCAAGTTTTGCGAGTCGAACGAGCCTTTTTAAGTTTGTTTTCTAAATGAGTCTAAAAAAATGTTCAAGCTCGGCTCAAGTCGAATTCTGGTCGAGCCGAACTGAACATGAGCCAAATTCACGTAACTCTAGCTCAATTATTAGCTTTACTCGAAGGGTGCTAAACAACATCGGACAATATGCACAAGATATTAGCTAGAAGAAGTTGAAAAAGGAGAGTTTCACAATGTCGTGGAATGATATCAATAGGTCAGGGCCGCCCCTATCATTAGGTTAACGAAGTCTGGTCTTTAGGCCCTATGTTCAAAGAAGGTCGCAAAATTTCTAGGTATATGGTTAGTCAAATGAAAATTTTTTAGATCCATCAGATTAGGCCTCCAAAAAAACCCTTATAAAAATTTAAATTCAATCAAAACTAAATTTGAATAATTTAGGCTCATGAACCTAACCCATAATATTAAAAATATACCAAAATAATTTTTTTAAAAGAAAAAGTTAAGGGTTAAAAAAAAATCAACTGATCAATTAAAATACACCATTCTTTTGTAAGCATTTTCTCTCTTTGTCATGTGTCCAAAACACAACTTAAAAAATCTCGAACATATATTTCATTTTTCTCTCCCTCTATAGTAAACTGACCCCTCTCTCTCACTCACTCTCTAATAAACACACATCCCTTCTTTTTTTGTGTTACTATATTTTTTATTTCTATTACAAAAAATATAGCAAAATATTTTAGGTTTTTTTTATTCAGCTTAAAATATTAAAATCAGTAGACCATAATTGCTTAAAATTAAAAGAAAATTTTTAAAATTAAAATTGATAAAATCTTTCCTAAGATTGATTATCATAAGAAAAATTAGGTGGATTGGTGATACTATCAATATAAAAAGATATGGTAATGAGATTTAAACATAAAAAATAATAGTACTTTTAATCTAAAAAAAAGAATAAATTTTAAATAAAAAATTATTAATATCAAAAATAAAAAGCATCATTTCCAATTGTCTCTTTAAGTCTCAAATAGTCTTGGGCCTCCCTTGTAATAGGTTCGACAATAATGACTCGTTGTTAACTCAGAAATTTCTCTAATGACTCATTTGAGTTAACTGAGAGTCTTCGTTGACTTAGAGATGTCTCAAATGACTAAATTGAGCTAAGTGAGACTCGTTATTTACACGAAAATATGTGAGTCTTGAAATGAAAGTTACTAAGTCATACACAACTCGGTCAAGTTGTATTGCAGCATTTGATACATTGAATCATGCTTCTAGGGAAAGACAATGGATTTTTGTGCTTAAAGATATCTACATGAACTAGCATGCCAAAAGAGAACCAAAAAGAATAAAATGAAATAGAATGCACTCCTACCCTCTTTCATAGCATCTACTTGAAGACATACACATGTTATTTTGCAAGTATGAGTTCTTATGAGGGTTCAAAAACATACTGCTATAATAATGATTTATAGTCTGCAATCTAATAATTGAGGAAGAACATAACAATAGAATAATAGTGAAAGGGTCACGATGGGGAGTGGCGTAACAGTGATACCATGTCATAATTGACATGCGGTGTCACCATCAATAAAAACATAATAAATAAGTAGATGAATTTCACATATTATAATAACCACCTTGTCATGTCATTTAATAATCATATAAGTGGGGGTTTATCTTGCCCATTTGTAAGTTTATTATTAAATAATGACATCACGTGTCAATAATAACATGATGTCATCGTTGCATATAATATTTTTTTCTAGATTGAGATTTACTTATCTAATTTGTTGTGGGTGTCGTGTATTTCACTCCTAGTAGCAAATAGATTTTGACTTTGTCTTCAAATTTGAAGAGTAGATGTTGTAGCATTCTACTTCGAGTAGAAGATCAATTAAAAATCATATTGTATTAGGAGACAAAATATTTTTGGCTCGTTTGGTTGTCGTATTAAAATAGATGAATTTGATAAAGTAATATCATCTAATACAATACAGATAGATAAAAGACAAGATTAAATATGGTTTTAAAATAATACGTAATTTTATCTAGTATTTGACAATACACAATATAAGCGTTGGATTGTAGTTATTTAATCCAATCGATTGTTTGGTTAGAGAATTATTTCGTAGTATTAATGTTGAATTAACCAAAATACTTTCAATTAGTATTTGTTACATTGATGACACCTTGATTTTATCACTTGGGGAGTTATAATAGTAACTATATACAATAATACGTTTGAGTTGGATTATTTTTTTTACATATTTTTTTATTTTTACGTTTAAGTTGGATTATAATACCACATCTCTTAATGATATTAAAAAACCTCTACAATACAGGTCTATTGTATAATAAATATACAATTAATATATATTTTTGAAATTAATACGGTATCAAATTTATTTACCAATCAAAGTATTAGGCCCGATTAAATAAAAATTAGTACAATTAAATATTTAATTCCCTCGTAATACGTCTACCAAACAAGTTCTTTGAGTTTATAAATATATTATAAACCACTTGGTTTTTCTAAGTGAATTTTGACCCCCAGATTTGGGTATTCATGTTTGAATTTATTCTCTCGATTAGAGAATTTTGAGTAATCTCCCTTTGTTGATAGTGAAATTTTGCCGCTGCGGTTGGCTTGTAGACATAAGTTGTGTTATTTATTTTTCTATTTCGTTCCGTTATTATTTGCTTGTGGCTTTTGTTCATAACATGATCCAATTCTAGTTACTCTACAAAAAAAGGACTTGGCTTCCTAAATTTCAATACATGAACAAGATTGAGAAAGAGAATCAGAATTAGTCTGCAAGGGTTGCTATGAAAGCAATACTAAAATATGAACCCCTATAACTAAAAAGCTGAGCAAAAAGCAATTGCACTAATTATGCGAAGTTTGATAGCACTGGACACCCCACCCAATACGTTTTAGCATGTTTGGTGAGAAATTACTATTGTAATTTCGTCGCAATTGTTTATAACCCTATCGCTATACAATAACACTTATTCTTTCTGTATTTTGATCATTTCATTGGGAATTCTTTGTGACTCCTCATATTTGTGCGTAACTAATGTACGAGGCTTTTGTCATTGCGGGATATGAGGAGAGTTAGATGTACGCAGCCTTATACTTGGAAGCGGAGAGATTGTTTTCGCGACTTAAATCTGTGACCTCAAAATCACAATAAAACAATCTTATTGTTGTGTCAAGACCCACCCTCGTACTGCCAGTATAAAACATAGAAATCTGCATTCAATTGTACAAAAAGTTCAAAGGATAATTTCTTATTGCCTTAAGAACTCTCCAATGTGCGTTCAAAGTACACAAAAAAAGAACTAAAAAGTAATGTTGCCTTAGGTCACCCCACTGTTAATGGTTGTCCTTTTCAACTCTGCTAGTCATAGAACTCAATTCTCCGGTTGCCACGCGCTACCGGAGAATTCATTCCAATGCCTTCAAAGTCCGTTGGAATTCTATAATACCCTTGCGGTCCAGACAGAGGTTGAACACCGTTCATATCGGTGCACGGTGATGCCTTTGAGGTTGTACTTCCCATGTTTGAGCCACCAAGTGCAGTGCTAGCCTTGATGGCTAGTGTGCACAAGTCTTGCAATGAAAGTGGTGTGTGGGATTTTGATGTTGGCATGAGGAAATAGATTTGGCCAAGCTGGAGTTCCTCATCGTCGGGCACGTGAGGCGCACGTGAGCTGACGTACATGGTCTCCAAGCTGCAAAGGAAGCAATTTGGATTGTGGAAGAGGATGTGTCCAGCTTTAATGGGCTGCCTGAATTCTTGGAGCCTCCCATCCTTTTGAATCACCTTGGCTGTGGATGGCCAATTCATTCCTCCACCTCCCCTTTCAATGTGAGAAGAAGTACATATACCCATTAAGAGAGAGAGAGAGAGAGAGATTTTGATTAGGATTTGGTGTTGTGGGATAGTTAGAATAGGTTGGGATATATAGGAGAGGAAAGGACTGGCAATGAAATTGCAAGACTGCCATGGCAAAAAGAAAGGTGTTAGGGAGGCTAAGGCTTGACTACGTAATAGTATCATATATATATATAGTATTGACCAATGTCAAGAATATGGAAAATTTTGTCATTGAGAAGTCTTTTAATAGCATGAATACGTAGTCAGATCAAGTCTTAAAGATATCTTAGTTTAATGAAGGCCTAACGACAACGACTGTAGTTACCAGAGGTGTCAAGCTTTTAGTTTGTGGTAAGGGATCTAATGTAGTCTTGATCAAATAGTTTCATTTCAAATTCGTATAATGCCTTAGTAAATTTGTATTACCCGTAAATTAGAAATGATACTCTTTTTTTTTTCTCTCTCAATCAAATCCATTACATAGAGAGTCCTATGAATTAAATTTACTTGATTCACATCCTAGAAAAACTAAAAAGCTTATTTAATTCTACAATATTTCAAGGTACTAGATGAGAAAATAAAAAAAATGCAAAAATCTAAACTCGGGCTTATATTTTTACTGGTCGAGTCATTTTCGCATTCGTGTGGTGTTGAAATTGACACCCTAATTCATGGCTTTCTTGACAATGGAAAACATTCCATGTTTATCAACAGAATTAACCAGCAATTGAGAGCAGATTTGCAAAACCAAATGATTCCTGTTTACTTCATCAATTATAGGAGAAAATGTGTACCATGAAGCTTCAAAATAATTTTCCTTTTCAGTAAATATTGGGTGTAACAGTATCATCACATTATCATTGACACGTAACGTTATCATCCAATAATAAACCTACAAATGGATAAGGTGAATCCCACTTGGGTGGTTATTAAATGACATTGTAGGGTAGTTTCTATAATATGTGAGATATACCTGTTTATTTGTTATGTTTTTAAGAAAATACTATGTAATCCAAATGAAAAGAGATCATTGGATGAGTGAGTTTCATCAACGTTTTTTAAATGAGACTCATTGATCCAATGATTCACCTTCATTTGGGATGCAAATTTGAGTTATATAGAATTATTCATATTTTTATTAAACGATGAAATCACGTGATAATAATGATAGACTATTACTATTACACCTAACATTTTTTTCTACATTTTGAGGTTGTCCGTATATGTTTGTTTGCTAGTTAAGAGCACATAATGCTTGCCCCCACAAGGAAAGTGGAGATGAACATAACTTTTAAGGATAGGTAGCGTGTCGAAATTGATCTGTAACTGTTGATTTTAGTTTACACGTAATTATTGATTGAAGAAATAATAAAGTAATAAAAATAATAAAAAATTATTTTTTGATATTATAATCGGGGCAAACTTTAATCTATAATTTGTGGGGCTCGGAGTAAAAATTTCTGTTCACATTACTTTTATATGTGGACTGAAAAGCCAAGGGCATAGCTGCCCCAATAATTTGCAGCAGCTAGCAAGAAAAAATGTCTTTTTTCCTATTGCATTATTATCCATGAGGTGAATGTCGTGCTGTTAACTTTGTTCTTTTCCTTGTATATATTGACATTTTGTGCACTTCTCAATTACCAAAGTTTTTATTCTGAAGTGGAATGACTCTCATGGTCACGCAGGGGTACGACCAATACGTCACCCCTCCCCTCTTTTACTCATAAAAAAAAATACCAAAGCTTCCAATAAGCCCAATTAATTTCTAACGGTGACAGTTGCTTAGTATATAATGTGGGGTTTTTTTTTTTTTTTTAATGTTCACCTTATAAATTGCCTCCATTAGCTATTTTGAGTTTTGCATTTATGCAAACGAACCAACCTGCGATAATTTTTTTTTTAATAACCGAGAACTATCGCGCACAATTTGAACTAATAACAATGTTAAGATGTTTTCTTCACCACCAAGGAATAATGTCCTTTCTTTTGGTCCCCGTTATGGGCGAGGAGGGATTTGAATCCCCAACACTGTAGTTTATAGTCACATCCTATATTCCTCAAAGGTACATGCTTGCTCCATCTCAATTGGGTCTGTTTTCGAGAATACTCTAAAATAAAAAAAAACAAAGGAACTTTTTCTCAATCTAACCATATATACTATGATAATAAAATGTGAAAGCGCGTTTCTTCTTTGGAGAATGGACCAAGGTGTGAAATTAGAGACAAAAGATTTCATAATTGGCATTTTGTATAAGAAAAGTTTCTTTTATTTAAAAACTAATAAGTGAGAGAGAAAAACTTTTTATAATCAGCAAGCAACAAGCTATACCACTTTACGGTTTTTAGGCCATTGTCACTGGCCTATTGAGTTGGGGATTTTAGCAACACCATAATAAGATCATTTAAGGCTGATTTTAGCGTAACGATAAAGTTATTTTATTGTGATCTAGTGGAGGTCACTAGTTCGGATTGTAGAGATAGTCTCTCTGCTTGTAAAAGTAACGTTGCGTACATCTAACCCTTCTTAGACCCCATAATGACGAAAGTCTTGTGTATTAAGTGCGCTCATAATAAAATCATTTTAGGGTTCCAAATCCAAGAAGAACAGAAGCCACTCTTCCCTTTCTGTGATCTAGGTGAAGTCAAGTCTCCTTTTCCCATCTGTGGAACTTTTTGGATGTGTTTTCTATATGAACATAGCCCTCGGAAGACTAAGAAATACCACGAAACTACTAAATTGGTAACAGAGAATTGACCCATTCAAGGGTTATTTGAAGCCATGGTTGCAACGTAAATCTAGAATTTATAAAAACATCCACAAACCATAGGCATCGATCAGGGGCAGAGCCAAGTTTTCATCTTAGGGTGGGCAAAGCGATGGATAAAGAATTTTCACCAACTAATTTGAGCTATACAAATATAAGAAATATAATAATAATCAAAAGGACATTACAAAAAGACAATACACCGACACTATTTATTCTTAATAATATCTGAAATAAAAAAAATAACACAATACTTGTGTCATTGTGTACTTCAACTGAATCACGAATAAAATTCAATGATATTTCATTTTCTAAAAAACATCTATTGATTTGATTTTCTGTGTAAAAATTGTCAATAATTTATTTTTGCATATACATAATCCAGTAGTTCACTGGCAAATTATAATCCATTTTATTAAAAAAAAAATAATTTTGATAACATTCACAACCAAAAATAACCCCAAGACTAACAAGTTACACTCATTTGAATGACCATTCAAATTTAACACATGCCTTTTTTTTTTTTGACTTGTTAAAACATAAGTAAATGAGTAGTAATTAATAAAACTTTTTTATGGTGATTTCATACTATTTTCTCCAGATATTGACATTGCAATGGACATAAAGGAAAAATTGAAAAATTAATGGGGTAACTAAGTGAAATTATCTTGAGAGTCTTTTATATGTATTAATATGTCTAGTGGGACGAACCGTAAACTTAAGCGTCATGAGTTCGAAATTTGGTAATCCTTTGGAGCTAAAGCATGAGAGATTTATTCTTCATGAATATTTTAGTTCTAGCGTGGATAATTTGCTTTTGATTAGATCAGAGAGGGTTGCCATTGGGATCAGACCATAAGAGATTTATCCCTCATGAATATTTTAGTTCCGGCGTAGATGACATATTTTTGATCAAATCAAAAAGAGGATTAATTGAGATGCACATAAACTCTCGTAAATATCCTTGACCATTAAACTAAAAAAAAAAAAATATCTTGTGGGTAATGCCAATGACAGGGGATACTTACCCACCCTGGCCCAAGGGTGGCTTCGGCATTCACATCTATTAAATTCAAGTTTTATTCGGTCGTGACGACGATTGAACTCTGAAAATTTTGATCAGGAAAAGAAGAAAAAAGAGAGGAATGTAAAGCAAAACAATGTGTGACTTTGACTCTGCGAGTCTTCCCTGCCTTGAATGGACTCCTTAGTTGGCTACGCTACCCGTCTATCCTTTTCAGACTGGTAAGCATCAACCCGTTCATTTTTTTTTTAAGGATTATTTGGAAGCTGCTACATCTAATTAGATTTATTTGACAAAAAATACATAAGATAAAATATTTTAAAAAAATATATATAGCTAAGTTACAAAGACATAAATACTCATTTTAAAGTCATTTAATTCAAAATCTCTTATCTTTAATACACTTTGATTCATGTGTGTTTGTTAATTTATATAAATACGTATTTAATGCACATTGATTCATGTGCGTATATATATATATATATACTTGTTGCTAAATTTTTTATCTAAATTTTGAATTATCTTCAATTCACCTTGATTTATGAGTATTTTTTTTTGAAAAGTGATTTTGTTTTCAAATTATATTTAATGCACCTTAATTTAAGCATTTTTTTTTGAAAAATTATTTTATTTTCAAATTAATTTAATATCCAAATAATGTAATAATGTAACAATAACAATGTAAAAAATACATTGTAACAAAAACAATGTTCAGTAGTTTTGTGTATGTGATAACAAATTCAAAATAGAGATGTACTATTTTGAATGAAATTATATAAAACTATATGTTTGAAAAAATATAATAGTACAATATTTTGTGTAAATAGTTTGTTATACTGTTATTGTTATACTGTTACACTGTTATTGTTACACTATTTAGATATTAAATTAATTTGATAATAAAACCACTTTTAGAAGAAAAAAAAATGCATGAATCAAGGTTCATTAAAAGGTAATTCAAAATTTAGATAAGAGATTTGAAAACAAGTATATATATCCGTATTTATATATATGTGTGTGTGTGTGTATTAAAGTTCTCCCATAAAATTAGGAGATGTTTAATGTACCACTTTCCAAAAGAAAGAGATGCATTAAATACACATGGTAAAATTCAAATAATGTACTTAGATACAACTAAGTATTAAAATTAAAGATTTAATTACCCAACATTTTTTTCTATATATTTTTTTACAATTAAGTTTAATTGAGTGTACCTCTTTCCAATTTTCTCTTTTTTTTTTAATTTAATGATTAGGAGTGTCTAAAATAACTTATACATGCTTCGACTAGTCCTTTTTCCATCCCGATCAAAGGTAAATCATCTACGCCGAAATTAAGAAATTTATAAGAGATAAATTTCTTATTTCTTGACCCCAAAAAATTGATAAAGTTCAAATTTAGAACGTCTTAATTTACAATTTATCTTTATTATCATTTGAACTATCCATTAAGATCGATATTTCTACTTCCAAAGGTTTTCTCTTTCTCTTTCTCTTTCTCTTTCTCTTTATTGGCTGTCCATGGGTCGGGTTAGACTGTAGCAATCCATAATACAACCCAAAAATGATCTGTGGCTGGCTGTACCCAAAGTAAACTAGTTCATCCTAAGCCCATCCAAGTATCAAGTGAACTGTGGCGCTGTTGATGGGCTAGGGGTTGGGCATCGTGTGACCAACCGCTCCCCGGTATACAATTTAGAAGTCCTAAAATTAAATTTCACAAGTTCTATGCTAACAAGTTGTGAGTTACAAATTTCCGATTTATAAGTTATAGATAATGTTTCTATAAAAAAAATAAGTTTTTATTATTTATAAACTTCAAAGTTATAAATTACGACATTTGGGATATAATTCAATTTTTTTTTAAATTTTAAGACTAACCACGATTGACCCAAGACAGACCCATATCCGAGTTAGATTAAGGTTAGCCCGTGACCCTATAGCGGACTTGTGCTAGATGGCCTGGTCCATCCATCTCCACTAGCGTCACCCAGAAAAAAAAAAAAAAGAATTAGGCCAGTATTTTAACCTACATTTCGATTACCACTCAATGGACGCCACTATGATCATTCTTACAAAAGAGCTTCTAGTTTTGTAGCCTATTCTAGCTCAAAACAAAAGTTTCGTTATACAACGTAGATTCAAAACATTATAAATTGCTATCAGGGGTCATTGATCCTAACGTTGCAGCGATGACGGCTAGCATGGTAGGAGGAATCTCACATCCCTCGGTCTGGTCTGGATTGGTTTCACACGGGCCGTGTAGTTCTAAGGGAAGTGGATTGGGACGATCTAAACTCGTCCCACATTGTTTGTTAAAAATGTGTAAGAAGTGTGTTTAGTAATTGAGAATTTTGAACGTTCATTATAAGACAAGAGCAGTATTATACAAAGTGGTTCCAAGATAAATTTGAAGTAATTAAAGAGATAGTGTTCACCTTTGAGGCATCCAGCACCATTCACATTCAAGAGAAAACATATCTATCATTTTGACATGAGTGAGCCAATAATCCCAGCAATCATAGTAGTTGGATCTCCAAGCACTGCAGAGGCAACAAACTGCAAAGCCAAACCAGCCATCTCACAACATTTCTGCACTTTACCCTTACTCTTTTGGTGGTAGGTCTGCAGTGTACCCTTCAAACTTGGAATTGTTGTCCTGAATTCCTTATTATTTCCGCCACACAAATAATCATGCCAGCTCTCCACGAGCATATCCTTCACACATGCCACATCTAAATTGTACTTTTTGCACTCCGACCGGTAGCTCCAACTCCTCCCCGTCCTCCCACAACGATGACATGGGACGCTAACTTTCCGGTACAAATAAAGCTTAACCTCACCATCATCAAGCATCCTAGGGAGCTTTGCACAACATGGATGAAGGTCAAAACCACATGACTTGCAGTGGTAAACGAAACCGGTGACGTCCTTCCCACAAGCGTTGCAGTAGCGTTGGATAGAGCCCGGTGGACGGGCAAGGAGTTGGAAGGAGCATTTGGTGTAGAAAGGGTGAGAGATGGTAGTTGCTGGCAGGGCACAGTGAAGGTGAAGATCATAATCACAAGTGGTGCACTTATAAAGTGAGCCTATACCAACTTCATGGCACCCATCACACTTGAATGGAAATTTTGTGTGCTCAAATTTAAGCTTGTGTTGGTGGCTGAAATGGGAGATTTCATTGTATTTCATGGTTATAGATGATAAGCACTGCAAAAGAACTCCAAGGACATATATATAGATAAAGGGGACCCTTAACCATATTGTTAGAGAAGATAGAATATATAAAGTAATTAGAACGCTTTTACCCTAGGTCTAGGGATTCTAATTAGGGTTAGTAATGGCTTGAAGTTGAAGCAAAAGTTGGAATTTATTCTTGTGGATGGTGGCAATAAATGCGTGTACATAAGAAATTAAGACTAGTAAGATGACAAATAAAGTATAGTTCATTACTTAAAAAGATTTCCAATCTATATACTATTTGGACATGGGATTTATTTCAATATAAAGTATAAATGATCTGAATTGAGCTGAGTAAGTAATGCACTATTATGACTTGGCTTCTTCATTTGCAAAGTGTATTCGGGATTGTGACGGAATCCAGATATCTTGTTCAAGCTTGACTTGTTTATTGCAAAGAGTGTGTGGAATCAGATCGAAATTATGATGAGTTTCAAAAATCTTATTTAAATTTGGCTCATTGATCTCTTTCCAAACTAGAGCTCTGCTTGGCTTAGCTTGTTTGCTTAAGCGATCAAACTTGAACTTATGTTTGAGCTTAAACTCGAGTTGAAATTCAATGATCAAGGACTCTTCTAGAAAGTATATTGGCTATTAACATGCCCTAGATTTATGAATTATGTCAAATTTAGGTACAAAACTCGAGTTTATAACAACATATACTCACCCAAAATTTGGATATTCGATTTGAGAATAAAATTTAGCATCTAGTTTATAATTCAAGATAGAGCATTCTCTGATTTTTAATGCATGTCTATGAGGGGCCAAATTAAGATGTTATATTAATGGAATAAATTCCTTTGGTATTATCTTTTTCTTCATCTTTTGATTGTTCATATGGAAGAACCAATTGTTTCTGATTTCCACTTGATTAAGTAATGCCACCCCATAATGTGGGGTATGTACAATTGTATTTCTTTTGTTGCCAATATGGAATCTGATTCTATATTTTGGTTAAGAGAATCAAGCCAACCATGTATTATTTACTCTCATGTAACAATACAAACTTCATATGAAAGAAATTATTCACAAAGCAAACTTGATGAGAAACTCGGGCTTTGGGCCATCTTGGGATTCAAACTCAGGATGCACGAGCTTGTGTCGTCCCTTATTCGACTATTGAATCAATTCATACGGGTTGAACTGATTTTACATTTTGAATAAACGTTGCTTACGAGTTTTTTTTTTTTGGCAAATGAGACAAAAGTTAATTAATTCATTAACAACTAGATTTTTGAACTTGTAGACAAACATTTTCCCCTCTCAATTTCACGCACCCAACATATACTTTCTCTCAAAAATTTCATAAACTCTACACATACGCACTCCACAATAGTACAACACACAGTTGCAGACACATACACACACTTATTATATACACGCACCAGCTGTATACATATTTCAATATACGTATAATGTTATAATTCAGTGTATAGTAACTTTAATCAAGAGTATAATTAGTATATATATATATATATAGTTGGTTGTGGAGAGTCTTGGTCTTTTAGTCAATATAGTAACCAAAGTTGGACAAGCAAGCATCAAATAAATTTTGGTATCTCAATAATTTCTGGCCTGGATGTTCTTTTTCTCTTTTATCTTTGCTTTTTCTTTTTGTTTCTTTAGTTTGGTTAAAAAAAAAAACACCTGGAATATTGAGAAGTGCAAGCAATTCATTGAATTTTTGTACTTGTAAGCAAGGAGGAGTAAGGGAAGAATCAGATTCTTTGTTCTGCTTCTTATATACTCAATTCTCTTTTCAAATACTTTTCTTGTTATAAATGATATATATTTTTGGCAATCAATTGAGGTTTAGTCATGAGAGATCTATCCTTGGTGAATACTCTACTTCTGATATAAATAGTTTGTCTTTGACCAAACTAAATAGGGGATTAGTCGAGATATGCATAAACGGATTTGAACACCCCTAACTATTGATCCAAAAACAAAAAGATAGATATTTCTTCCTTTGATTCTCATTTACTTAATTGCAATATTTTACATGTACAACTATTACGATGAAAAATCAACTATAATCACGAAAAAGAACAAATCTTTAATATGAGTAGAATGAAAAGTGTCCAAAAGAAAAAAAGTCGAAAGAAGTATAGAATAGAACACAAAAAAGAGACTTTAAAAATTAATCGTTTGGCCAAGACGGGGTCATTCAACAAGAGATTCTTGACTATAAAAATTTTGTGTCAATATGAAATAGAATAGAAAATGTTCATAGACTAAAACAACAAAATACAAAAAACGTTGAAATTTAGAATGCCAATAAAAACAAAATAAATCCAAGAATCAGGCGTCCGTGGACCTTCTAACGCCCTGCTCTAAGTTGTAACACTGTCTCGAATATGGATAGGATAACCAGGTTCTAGTCAACAAACAAGCCGCAGCACCTGACTCTGTCTCTGTCTCTCTCTCTCTCTCTCACACACACACACAGAGGTAGCTCAGAGCTCCTTCTATGGCGTTGTTTTCAACAGCAATCAAACGCACTCTCCTCTCAACTCTACCCACCAAACACCACTCTCTCTCCACTGCCTCGTCATCGGCACCACCCTCCGATCAAACCCTAGTCTCAGCCGCAGTCTCCATCCTCAAACACCACCGATCCAAATCCCGGTGGAACCACCTCCGCACTCTCACCCCCACCGCCGGCTTTAGCCCCTCCCAAGTTTCCCAAATCACCCTCCAACTCCGCAACAACCCGCACCTTGCCCTTCGCTTCTTTCAATTTACCCTCCAACACTCTCTCTGTTCTCATTCTCTCTCCTCCTATGCCACCATCATCCACATTCTCTCTCGTTCGCGCCTCAAATCTCATGCCCAAACCCTTATCCAATCCGCTATTCGTAAATTCCAAGACACCCATTTGTTTGATTCCTCAGACCCGCCTCCAATTTTTGAAACTTTGATCAGAACATATAGAGCTTGTGATTCAGCACCCTTTGTGTTTGAGTTGCTAATCAAAGCTTGTTTAGAATCAAAAAGAATTGATCAGTCCATTCAAATTGTTAGAATGTTGAGGTCCAAGGGTATACATCCAAGAATTAGTACTTGCAATTCTTTAATCGAGTCAATTATAAAGATTCAAGGTTGTTATGCTGGATATGATATGTTTAGGGAGGTTTTTGGGCTTGATGGTGAAAGTGGAAATGACAATGGGAGTAGGGTTAAGGGTGTTGTTCCGAATGTGTATACCTTCAGTATAATTATGGTTGGTTTTTATAGAGATGGGTTGGTGGAGGATGTGGAAAAGGTTTGGAGTGAAATGGCGAATATGAACTATGAGCCAAATGCTTATTGTCATAGTGTGTTGATGGAGGCATATTGTGACGATGGGAGGATAGAGGATGCTATGTGCGTGTGGGAAGAAATGGGGTTTAAGGGTGTGAAGCATGATGTCGTGTCTTATAATACTATAATTGGTGGGTTTTGTAGGATTGGGGAAATGGGGAGGGCTGAGGAGTTTTTCAGGGAGATGGAGTTGAGTGGTGGGGTGGATGGTACTTGTGTCACTTTTGAGCATCTCATCAATGGATATTGTAAGATTGGGGATGTAGACTCTGCAATTCTCTTGTATAAGGATATGTGTAGGAAAGGTTTTAGGCCGGAGAGTTCAACAATTGATGCTGTGATTAGGGGGCTATGCAATAAGAACAGCGTTTCTGAAGCTCTCGACTTCCTGAGGGTTGCAGTGAAAAAACATGGCATTGTTCCAAAGGGGAAGAGCTATGAGGGTCTGATCAAGGGTTTGTGTCTTGAGGGGAGGATGGAAGAAGCATTGAAGCTTCAGCGTGAGATGATAGGAAAAGGGTATGAACCAAACTCAGAGATATATTTTGCTTTTATTGATGGATATACAAAGAAAGGGAATAAGGAGTTGGCTAAAAAGTTGAGGAAGGAAATGCTTGAAACTCGAACTCCTCAGGAAGAGAGTTAGATATAGGTTTTCTTATCTTAGACTATCTCAGTCCTCAAGGGAACTGCATTGTTAGCAGAGTGATGCCTCTGGAAAACCAAAGCGTCTTGAAGCTGGTCTGTTTCAAACCGAGGTATAGTCTTCATTCTGTGCTTTGGATGGTAACATTTGGGCCGTTATCTAACTATTTCTCTAATATCTGGCCACATCTCCTTGTGGATGCACAGATTGATGATGAAAATCCTCTTTGGAGCAATTTGCCAGCCTCAAATTCCATCTTGCACCAATGTATCTCCTTTATAATGCATTGCAACTCAACCATATGATTCGGACTGCATAGAATTAGCTGTGGTACTGGTACATGTGCTATGAGAGTGACTCAGAATAAACTATATTATCTCCCTTTGGAGATGAAAGATTATGTCAGTTCTATATTCGTGCCACTAGTGGTAATTTATCCTTCTATCTACCTTTTGGTGTGTTTAGTTTAGACAATTCCTTCTTTGACTTGTTCTGTTAATTTTTCGAGTGGTTTGAGTTTGTTTAATGAGTAATGCTAGATTGACCAAAAAAGGGGGTAAAAAACAAGGACCAAATGATGTGGCGCTGATGTTTTGATGCTTTTGGTCCCTCTTTTAGTCATTTAAAATTCAAATTTTATTCACCATATCAGAGCCACAACATTTGATCCTTATTTTTGGTCTCTATTTTTTGGTCAGTATAGCATTACTGTTATTTAATTCTGTTGGAGTAAGCTTTGCAATTGATTCCTTATAAATCTTCATCATAGTCTTGTCCACTATAAGGTTTCCTAGACAGGGTTTAGATATTTTATCAATACGCATTAAACAAGAGATAGATTTTTGTCTCAGGACATAATGCTACCATATGTGTTCATTGTTTGGCAAGATTCATTAAGTTGCTCAATGTTCTAATTGTGTAGGTCTTGAAACTCTAGTCAACCAGGTATTCTTAGAGCTTACGTATCAAGCTCCATGCCATAGAAGCGCATGCATAGGTATTTGATGATTAGTAGATTATGCTTTCAGATAACTTTAGTCTCTCAAATATACTGACAAGTGCATTAGCATACTCACTGCTATGTCTTGGTGCTATGTTGCATTATATTTTTTTGGATCCTAGTGTTCTACCTAAGCATGGCGATCTGTTTTCGCTTAAACTTCTCCCCTCAAAAATATATTTGACGTGTGATTAACGTGCGAAGGTTTTCTGTTTTGTGAGCACATCTTCAAAATTTTCACCAGGCTTGAGACAGATAAAACTTAAAAATGAGATTTTTTTGCAGTTTTCTTCGATTGCAATATGTTCACTGGTAGATAGCTAATTTTTAATGATAATATCAGGTTTGATTTCCACAGGGAATTGTTTTCTGCAAAATGGAAATTGTTAAAGGTTTCTAGAGCATGGCTGGGGAGAGGGAAATTTAAATGTACAGCAGAATGCTATGGTAGTAAATTGGAGGTGTGTGAATTCAGAGGGTGATTCTTAGCCAACATTCAATGGGTGATTTCCTTGTTCCAGCAACTTATTTCTTTCAACTGTATTTCACTGTGGAGTAGAAGTATTGTGATTGCTGTATCTTTTATTTGTTATTGTCGTTATGGAGCTTTAGGGCCTGTTTGGTATGTTTTTTTGGGAGGGGTTTGGATTGGCTTGTCCAAACCCGGGTTTGACCAAAAATGGGATTCAAAGAAGGGATTTAATATTCAATGTTGTCCATACCCATGTTTGGTATGCGCAGAGATATATGACTATTATGATAATATATTTGTATTTAAATGACTATTGTGTCCGTTAACTAATTTAATTCCAACATGGTATGAATATATGGGGGTATAAATGTCATTTGAATGTGAAACCTCCAAACCCACATATGAAACCCACCCTCCCATGGGTTTCATGACCAGGCCATGACCGGGCCGGATTTCAAACCCTAGGCTTAATCCATAGTTACCAAACATGGGTTTAAAGGGGTTTAGTCCCCAACCCCCCCAAACTCACATACCAAACAGCCCCTTAGAGTGATGGCAGTTGTCCTCTATAGTCTTATCTCTCATTCAAATGTTTCAGGTGATGCTGAGGTCAGTAGTGGTGCCTAATGGAGCTGTTCGAGTTCGTGTTGAGTCCTAATGGCAATTACTGAATGGTGCCTAATGGAGCTGTTCAAGTTCGTGTTGGGCCCTAATGGCGACTACTGAAGATGTTTCATGCAAGGCAGGACGCCAGGCTCAAAATAAATTATACAGGCAGCAGCAGCAGCAGGAACTGTAAAGAATCAGATACCGGTTTTTAAGAAGCTATCAAATACCAGTCAGTATGCAACATCTTTCACTCTGTTTTGGTGCATTTTTTGCTGAGGTGCTCTTTTTTGGGTGATGTCAGCATCTCTATATATTTGAATGAAGGTATTCTGAGAGATGATCAAAGGGGCTGGGTCACAGGCTACTATGGGAGACTTAATGACACAACGAGCCTGCAAACGGAACTCTGGGCCATCTGGAAGGGATTGGAACTCATCCAAAGTAAGGGAATCTGTGATGTTATGGTGGAGACTGATTTATTGGAGGCTGCAAGGCTCCTCTCCCTGGATATTGAGGAAACATATCCAAGCAGATCACTTTTAGTATGCTGCAAAAATCTGATGGCGGATATCCAAATTCCTATCATCCATATCCTCAGAGAAGTAAACCAATGTGCTGACTTGTCTAGTATCGCTTTTACTAGGAACTTACTCTAGTTTTTGTTTTTAACTTTCTGATGTACCCAAAAAAAAAAAAAACTGCTGTTTGGAGTAATTATATCAGTTTCGTCTTTTTTTTGAATTTCCATGGGCTTCAACATCTTTTTTTTTGGAAGCTATTAGTTTGTGGCTCATGGCCTTTGGTCTTCTCTCTCTTCAATATGTATTGGGTGATGCCAAGAGTAATAGTGGAGCTGTTTGGTGTTATGTATGGTGGACCTGGGTGGTAGGTGTAAGCTGCTCCTCTTTGTCTCTTAGGTTGCATCTTTTTTGTGGAGAGAGAGAGAGAGAGAGAGAGAGAGAGAGAAATCAAGCAAGAACTGCTCATCAATCACAAAGGTATTAAACATTTTGGATTACTCCTGTCAAAATTTGATCACCATCTATGTACAAAATTCAGATGCAAATCGATCTGTCATTTTGAAAGAAAAAAAAACATATGATTATATGCATATTTGAAGACTACAGAATGAAAATCACAATGAAGGAAGTAGCCAAAGATTGAAAAGAGAGGAAGCCAGAGACAGAAACCATGACAAGAAGGCCATTGCGGCAGAGATCTGATATCTACTGCAAAACTTTTGAGGGCAATAAGATTTGTCCGCTCTGAGCAGAATATCCACTACACCAGCTGTTGAGCAGGCTGCAGCTAGTGTGAGAACTGTCAAGACCTGCCATCAAGTACGTGTTTGTTAAAGAGAGAGTCCAGTGCACAAAATTCCAATCACTACGGGGTCTTGGGAATGAATTAAAAAGCAGGACATACCCAATCTCCTACGACGATGATCAGGACTATTCCCGGCTGACGAATAGGACATTTAACAAGGACGGAGTATGCATCGATCAATGCCAAAGTGGAACTCCATGGAATGATCAAACCCATGACTGTTACCAAGAAGCTGTGGAATCAACAAGCACAATGAAAACAATACATAATAGATAAGAAGGGGAATTGAAGCAACTTACATTAAGATCTTAATACGATTTTAGAGCAACCCAATTCAATCCATGAAAAATTGTTTCTTGAATACATTTTCTAAGAACATAAATATATCATGATTCTTAATATTGGTTACAATCCTTCAATTTTAGACACGAGTTTAACCCAATAAATTTTTTTAACTTTGACTAACCTTAACTTCGTATCCGGACGTCATATTCGTAAATATAATACATATTTTCCATGTGAAATTTCATTCTTAAACATTTATTATAATGTTTTATCATTTGGAACACGACCATCCATAGTATTAGTCACATATTTCAAGTTTGGACACTAGTTTAACCCAATAGAAGATGGTTTATCAAGAATTGGTATTCACCACAACAGTAAGATACAGAAGAAGGGGAAAGAAGATTAGAGAACACAATCAGACAAACAAAAATATCACAATTATCTAACTTTTGTATTGACATTGGTAATTGACCCAAAGCAATTTGATTATAATTAAAGTTGTGATGACCTTAGAAAGTTCATAGTTATTGATAAACAATTTATTGCACAATACTTAACGAGAGATTCCAAAATCAATGGAATGTCAACGCATCCGGGAAAAAAACAATTAATCTCTATCAATAGACCTACTAAAGAGTAAAGACCCAAACCATAAAGTACTTATTACTGTGTTACATAGAGATATGTTTTTAGATCTTGCATTGAAAACCCTCTTTTTTATTGTAATACATATATGATCAGATGCATATGTAGTTAAGAACCACTTACCAAATTAAGATGCAAACCTATATAAATTCACACACACAAAAATTTATAAATACACATATCTCAGATGCATCAAAATGAGAATGTGATCAAGAATTGAAGAAAAATACCAGAAGGCAGTATAGCTGTAGAACTCAACACCCAGAGACATGAACAGAAGAGAAGCACAAGAGAAGACGGTCTGTCCCAATCTCAGAGCAAAACTGGCACAGGTCCCCACAGACCCTGGTATTTCATCCATGGCCGTACGATCTTGCATGACCTACATCCACTGCTTTTCTGATAATGTTGATGATTGATTCTCCCCTTGTATTAAAATCTCATCGTAGCCTTCATATCCAATCCTCAACTTAAACCACCCCAAACTCTTCATCAAACCAATCACATATATGGTGCTAATTGTTATGATCCCAACTTTCAAGAATTCCCAAAAATTTCCATGGGTTTCTTGCCTTTTTCTCTTTCTTTTCTGCGTTTTTTCTTTTCATCAAGAATTCCCAAGATTTTCCATGAGTTTCTTGCCTTTCTCTCTCTCTCTATTTTTCTGGGTTTTTTCTCTTCTGATGTAGAAGGTTGGTGCCAAAGCAACTTATATTGGCAGAAAAACGTGAGAATAACCTTTGTTGAAAATTGAGACTTGTTTCTTCTGACGCTGTTTGTTTCTCGAAAACTCTGTTGGATTGGATCTATCAGGAGAATGAGAATTTTCTGGTGAAAATTCGAACTCGTGGAATGCGTTTTGTTTCCCATGATTGAAAATGAATTTGTGACTATATAACAATAGTTTAATTATGTCAGATTTGACACTCTGATTTTTTTTTTATTATTTTTTTATTTGACATTTGATTTTTTTATTATTTTTTTCCCATTTGAGGGAGAAGCCTATGTCGACAATTGTTTCGCACCACGTTTGTGCACCACTTTAATATAAACAGTTAAATTAATAGATTTTATAAAATTTATTAAATTTTTAATGACTCTAATTATATCGCATCAAATGGTATAAACGAGATAGTATACAAAGATATTATCCATAACATTATTCAAAAAAAGAATCTATACCCGACCACTATTATAAATTTTGTAATTTTTTATACAAATTTTGAAAGTAATTTATAACTTTTATGAGAACTTTTGATCGATGCTCAAAATTGATAGATTGACCCAAAAAAATTATAATTTAAACTTTAAAAAATTATAATTTTTTTTTGGGTTATAAATAACAAAAATTATAAAATTTGGACATACGATATTAAAATCTTGTTGGATACCTAGTCCTTGTCTCAGTTTGAGATGGGTACAATAAACAATATCTATATCATTCACGGCTGTATGTGGACGAGTATGGATATAAAACAGTATCAGTGGGCCAATCTATCACTTTTCCTTTTGCTTCTGCCGACATTGCCATCCATAGTTAAATATATGAAGACTTTAAATCCATTAATTCCAGAGTGACGCAAAATCAACTAAATACGATATGAATCAACAACATCCATTAAATACAATACACATCTCACGAACCCAACATAATGACAATTTGACTATACAAATTATAAAGTAAACAACCATATATTTAAAAAAATTTACAATTTATGAATTCACTAATTTGTTAAAACTATGCTCAAATTTGTTATTCACGTACTAATTTCGTGTTGATTGACAAATGTCTACTAGGAACAACCTTTTTAAAATGAAACATATCAACCGACCACTTGGCACATCCTTGGTCACACAAAAAAAGTCCAAGAGTCACTAGTTTATAAAGATTATTCTGAATGACATAAGTCCTCCCACCTCAACCCTAATGCTATTCTGGCGTAGATGGTCTATGGAATATTACCTGTTTGGATCCCACCATCTTGTTGAGTCCTTCCTTCAAGTATTGTAATGACAATGGGTGCTATCTTCACTAAAACGGTAGGTACTATTAACACTTACAAACTAGACCTTGCTAGAATAACAGTTATCGAGTGCCACATACTAGAAAATATTCATCGTAACAATTACATCACATCAATGTTGCCACGTAATATAATTATCTAATAATAACTCGACAAGAGAATAAAATATACCTTATGTCGTCAAACAATTACACCTCCGTATAAGATAATAACAACCTCGTGTAAAAAATATAAAATTCACCTTACACAATTGTTTATTTATTATTGAGCGGTTACCCCATTATACTGAGCATTTACTCGCCATGCACTAAAGTTTGCATTAACACACTTTGAATTCTGCGAATCATGGTTGGTTCTTATGACTATGAGTTGAGAATGAGGATATAGAATATACCTCACACCGAGGGAGTCAAAACTGTTAATATTTACTACATTTAATTGGCGTATTTAATGTTGCAACCAAAAAAAAGAAGAACCGGAATTTAATTCTCAAGTTGCATGATATCACAAGATATTTACGCTGTCACTACTACATGCTAGCTCCACAATTTTCAGGGTTCACTAGATAAAGCAGTTCGGGTAAAGAGATAAATAAAGGATAAAAGAGCAACAAGGAAGATACATATAAAGTAATGAGCTCCTTGTCACAGCACTGTTCTCCTCCTCCCTGACAACTGCACCAGAGATACAAAAGGCATACATTAATAAACAAATGGGTAGTTTAAAACCAAGATGAGGTGCAGTAAATTCCTCTTTATTTGTGGGTTTTTCCTTCCCTTTTTTTTTTTTGGGGGGGGGGGGGGGGGGGGGGGGGGAAGATTGGCTGGAGGAACTTCTTTCAGCCATGTCAATTGACTGGTTCTTTAAAATAAATAATCTAAGCGCACGAACTGAGGTTCCAGCTGTAAGGTCCTATTGCACAGAACAAAAATACATATCTTGCAAAAGTAAAGCTTATAACAATTGAAAAATTATAATTTTTGGGAAGGTAGCAACACAGAAGTAGATTGATCTTCAAAAAGGTTAACAACATCAAAAGAGCTGTGTGAACAAACAATCCTAGAAGAACTAAATTCCTTGTTTAGTTGTCAACATATACCAATTCTGGATGTGATATTGCTGACTCCCAACATGTGTTGTGAAGAAACACCAAACCAAAATCCTAAATAGAAGTGATGAGGTTTCTCCACTATCACTGTGTTTTCCTTATGTGCTATGCTGATGAAGAAAGAAATAGAAGTGACAGATTTCCCTTATTATCCTCTTACCTCACCTACTTTTTGTTAAGCTTAAACATTATCTCCTTCTCAACCATCGAAATAAGAATTGTCAGAACAGATATTAGACTTGAAAACTTTAAGATCTCAGGTAGGGGAGGCATTTAAGGGCATGTTTAGGTTACTTCAATGTGCTGTTTCTATATGTTCTCCTACAGCAAGGATTATCATACTCCTTCCCTCCTCGCTTCATTCACAACCTTTCAACAACTACACTTCAGCAATTCCAGGTTCAGAAATTTAGGTATATTAGTCATACCACGTGACATCTCCTTGAAAAATTTTCATTACATGAAACGCATGAATCAAAGCTAGCATTCACTTTCTAGAGTCGTATAATTACATTGTCGCATGTGTTTACCAAGTGCTTTAAATAGAGATTTTAGAACTCAACCCACTTTCATCATTTTATGTCAAAAAAGCACATCCATTGCCACAAAGAAATTATCTGAACATACTTATGGGCCTATATAAGATATTAGTTATTGCTCGTGCTTGAAGGCACTGTACGACGAAAAAAAATCAACTAATAAAAATGAGCATTAGCAAGAGAAAAAAGCGATGCACATAATGATAATAATAAATATCTAAAGCCGATGAATATATAAAAAATGTACAAAATTACCTCTAAAAACATAACTCAAAAAATTTAAACATATACACAATTTACATATTTTATCATCATACCTTAAAAAGCTATTACTCATTACATATTATTAATTTACCCATAGTAGTAAAAAGATTAATTAAGATACATATCAAATAAAAGAACGCTTTTTGATATCAAATAAGCACTATCTCCATATGGTTAAAGTGCAAATCTTCATTCTCAATCAACCTGATCTGACATATAACTATTAATTTTCAAATACAAATGCACACCATAGAAATAGGTATAAAAGAAATTATGAAGCATCAAAACATTCAAGAGGCTGTCTAAAAAATTGCTCGAAAATAACATTGGTTCTATAAATAACTTGAATTCCAATAAGTTCCAGGCATTGAAATTGTACACAGCAAACTATTGAAGCACTATTGCATTTGAAGTAATTAAAGTAATTAAAACCAATCCCCCTCACCTCTCCTTTCTCTCTCCTACCTCAAAACCCCCATGCCCACATTTTCATTGGCAACAAAATTGAAACAAAAAGCAATAAACTGAAGTGTAGTCAAGAATATCATAGAGGACAAAGTCTTGAAAAAACTAAGACAGACCAATTAGATTAGAGTCATTAGACCTAATTAATCATTTTTGTTGCAAATAATCAAAGCTCAACCATGAAACTGCTTTAATTAAGTAACAGCAGCCAACTGTTGAACCAATACAACCATCAACCAATTAAAGAATTTAATACCGCTAGAGAAAATCCAATACAATCACCAAATAGTATAATGTACACACCTCCAGAGAGAGATTCATTCCAAGTTAGTAAGCTTAAAATAAAAGAAAACGAAGAAAACGAAGAAGCAAGGATGCTGCTGGAAATATCGAGAAGGGTAACAAATGAACATTTAAATTTATCGAATTACCTCATCAAGTAAATATC